CGGTAGAAAAATTAATACCAATAGTACAAGGAAGTAAAATAAGCTTTCAAAAACAAATCATACCAAGACCTATAGAATCAGGAAAAACAAAATTTATACCCAAGAAACTAGATTTAGTAAATAATCAATATAATAGACCTGATAAATTAAAAATAAAAGTAATAATATTTAATGGAATGATGGTAACGGAAGGAATGGCAACAATTACTACACATACAAGTAATAGTTTTATACATGTAAGTAAAATTAATGAAAAGGAATGTATTACGATTGAACCTCAAATATATAATTTACCAAATGATGAAAGGGAAATAATAGTAAACAAATCAATAATTTTAAAATTTAAAATAAAAGATTTAGAATATAATATTAATATAGGTGTACTATAGCTTAGATTAGTGTATAGTAGATTTGTTGTTCCTTTCCATTTTCAAGCTCAATAAATTGCCTCTTGAATTTCAAGCCATTAATAGTGAAGTTTTCTTATTCTCCTTTTTCCATTTATGCTTTCAATTACTCTTTTAATATTGTGTATCTATTGTTATAGTATGAGTAGCTAAGTGTTTTGAGACTAGGAATTGGTTTGATTTCTTGATATTATATTGATGCCTATATGACTTGTATTGCATAAAGATGATTATTTGGGTGTTCTAGGGTTGTTGTGTAGAATGGATTTGTTGAGAAATTTGTGTATGATTGTTGGATCGCACTTATATGCTTCATTTGAATTGTGTTTGTTGCTACGAGAGTAGAGCTTGTAGACTAGCTAGCCACACATTCACACACTTGATGCCCAATACGAGAATATTTCGGGTATTAAGGAGAATTTATGTCTTGTGTTCTTGAATGGGCAACATTGGGTTGAATTTCCATGAGAGTGGGGTTTAAGGTGAGGTTGCAAGTCCAAATAGCTACGAGAGTAGTATTTGGACACTTTTGTGCATCTCACTTACCCCATGCCTTATGTGAGGTTGCAAGTCCAATTTTATTTTATTTGAATCAGTAGTAGTCCATGTTTGCAAATTGCGTCCATGCAAAAATGTTCACGTCAAATCATATTAGGCAAACCTTAATAGTACATGACTGTTTTGGGCGGAAAGTTAAAATGAAAAATTTTATTTTTATTAATAGTATAAAAGTATAAAATTTGAACACATTTTCATTCTTTCTAATTTTGTATTCGAATTTGTAATAACATAATATTTCTCTGTACGAGCAAAACACTAGTAATAAATAAATCGACAACCTAATATGATGTCGGTTGGAGACTTTATAAATTAATTATTTTTATTTAACTAATGTTTAATTTTATCAAGAATAACATGTCAAAATATATGACATAATAGGAACAAGTCTATATCTTTTGTGTAATTAATTTGTAGTGTTGTAAAAATTGGCCTAGGCAACCGCCTAGGTGCTAACTGCTAAGCACTAGGCGTCTAGGCGACTCCTGACCGAGGCAATTTCAGCCCTAGGTGGCCTTTAGTCAGTCGGCTGAATAACAGACGGACTAGGCGCCGAGTTGAGACGGCGCTCAACTCAGTCGAGTGGTTTGTTTTGCAGTGGACTAGTTTGAAAGATTATAACAGTCTAACAACATCCAACCCTATGTGATAAAAGTGAAGACGATATACTCATGTAATAGAATTTTCTAGAAGCATGTATAAATGTATAAAATATTCTAGAACCTTAGGGTTGTGTATAGATTTAGGGAGGGTCTAGATATTGATTGTTAGCCATACGTTCTAGTAGATCTCCACCATCTATTAAGGAGGTTGAATTGGTATAAATATCCCTCATGAGGCTCATATTTAAACAACCTCTAGAATCGAAGTATCCAAGTGCTCAAGAAAATAAAAACTAGTGTAATAGTAATCGGTATTATTTATGAATTATTTAAAATTAAAACATCTATATACAAATGTAATTTGGTCAATCTATACTTTCAATCCGAATTAACCATTAACCGAAATTCTAAAAAATTCTTAACTAGGGAAAACATAGAAACTATTTCAATATGTGCAAGGAAAAATGAAACAGCAAACAAAGCTTTTACAGCTTCATGGCTGTTATACTGGAAAAGCTACTTAACTTATCAGAAATATGAGTGCGGAAAGTTTGTAGACCAAGTGTAATACAAGCAAACCATTTGTCCTTGAATTTCCTCTCCACCTTCACCCAAAAATAATAAATAAATAAATAAGAATAATAATAATAATAATCACAGTGTAAGGTTCCCGTGCGGTTGATTAATGTTCGTGAGGTTTGTACTCAATGTGCGTGAGTATTGTGCTTAATGTGCCTGAGATTTGTACTTAATGTGCGTGGGTGTGTAATGTTAATGTGCGTGAGTTTTGTACTTAAAAGGTGTGTGAGTCTTGTGCCTAAGGTACGTGAGTTGTGTGCTTAATGTGCGTGAGTGTGTTCTTCATCCACTGCTGTGAAAATTATGCGCATCCACTGCTGCATTTTCTTCTTGTTTTTTGTTTCGAAGTGGTGGAGGAATGGATTTTGTCTTGTTTTTAACATAAAATCAGAACAGCCATATGTGCGTTTACATATATCCATCCATTCACACACAATCAGAAAAGATTCACCCACCTTCTCTTTTTGTTCTGCTTCCTTCTGAACTCAAATCACGCACATTAAGCACAAACTTCATGCACATTGAGCACAATACTCAGGCACATTAAGTACAAAACTCACGCACATTAACATTACACACTCACGCACATTAAGTACAAATCTCAGGCACATTAAGCACGCGACTCACGCACATTAATCTACCGCACAACCGCACGGGAAGCCACAAATGCACCTGATCCATTCCCAATAATCACAACTACTGATTCAATATATGTAAATAAATACATATGCGGTTCATATAGAACCACAAAGAAAGTGTTGGTTCTACTGGGTTTTTGTGGACCAAGTGTAATACAATTATACAAGCAAGCCATTTGTCCTTGAATTTCATCTCCACCTTCACCCAAAAATAATAAATAAATAAATAAGAATAATAATAATCACAGCTACTAATTCAATATATGTAAAATAAATACATATGCAGTTCATATAGAACCACAAAGAAAGTGTTGGTTCTACAAATCATCTAGTTAACCTGGAAAATTGTAAGGCGTCGGCGTAGGTTAAGGAAATCATACCACTGATCTGGGTATACATGAATAGAGACAAAATTCACAGTTGGGATCTCAGAATTGCAAATGAAGTCTACTCCAAGATTAGCAGCCAAAAATTCTAGGTTACCGTGAAACTTTTTGAAGTTTTTGGATCATAAAATCCTTCAAGTCACATAGTTAGAAAATGATTCCTGTCAATTGATCTTATAAAGTTGACATTTCTTCAATCCAATCCTGCAATTCTATGCCTTCTGATTATTAAAATCCAACTAAGGATAAGGAAAAAAAAAGTCTCTATGTTTGTGCTCTAATATGCATTAATAAAAAAGTGTACATCCTCAACACACAAATGAATTATCTTTGAGACTTTGAGCATTGAACTAAAAATAGTAAACCTTAAAACAAAATACAATAACAAAACATATTAAATAAAATGGTTGTTTTTAAAAGTTCAAAGAGAAATTGGGAACACTGAAGCAATGTGAAAGTAATCTTGATTCATCAAGAATCTGTGAGTTGACAAAGAAGCACATAAATTTAATATGCCTGCATAAGTGGAATTGTATGCTATGTGAATATTAAAATTCTTTTTTCACTTGTATCCAGGAAATCGTAAGCTGTGTTGGAAAACAATAATAAAAAAACTGTACTCATATCCAAATATGTATTTCAATGCAAAAAGTACTTCTACAAACACCAACTGGACATCACTAACTAGATGTTCAAAAGAGTTAAAGGAATTGAAATAGGTTGGGTTGTTCTTTTGAGAGATTTCAACAAACACCAAGGGTATCACAAAAACCTCAATGGATTATCCAAAAATCATACAAAAATTCAAAGAAACAAATATTTAGAGAAAAATATATATATTCACATAGTATAATTATAAACCCTAGTTTTAAATTCATAGTATGATATGGGAATAATACCTCCAAAAGAAGCTCTGCAACAAACCATATAGTACCGCATCAGACTCGCATTTGCTATTAGATGCTCGACTCCCCATTGCTGTCCACCGCATTGGCCGTATCTCGGAACTTTGAAGTTGGAGCGTCATAGACGGCGGTGGATGTTAGAGCGACGGGGGTGGCTGGCCGGGAAGGGAGAAACGGCGTCGACGTGTGAGCTGAGGCAGACGTTCGTCGGCTGGTTTATGCAGAGCTTTGTTTTTTTTTCCCTGCTAATTGTGAGCTGAGGAATGAAACAAAAAACCAAAAAAAAAATTGTTTGGGAAAAGAAATTCTCTGAGAGATGGACGGAAAACTCTCTACGCAGCGCTCGACGGAGGACCTCGATCTACTAGAACGGAGCACGGAAAAGTCTAAGCGAAATGCGATGCCTGAGCAAACTACGATGATCGAAAGCGCAGGCACCGGGATGCTAGAGGTGGAGGTAGTCTATGAAACGCCGATGGACACGATGGTGGAAGTGGAGGGATGCTGTCTTTGACGAATCACGATGTCGGGGGCTTTGAGCTGCCGTCGGCCATGCAAGGAATGATCCAAGCGCTGGAGGCCCCAATACGTACATACGCAGAAAGTGTGACGAGAAGGAGTGTGGCCAGATCGGAACCCATCCTTTGCGCATCGGATCAGGCTGACGTTATGAAGAGCTGGTTGTGGAGGAGGATGATGATCCTCTTTGTCCTACTATCAGACTGACAAAGGAAGAGGTAGAGAAGATCAGGCCCCATGGCGGAAGGCACTCATCATAAAGGTTATGGGCAGGCGGGTAGGCTATGCATACATGCTTCGAAGATTAACAACAATGTGGAAACCGTAGGGAAGTTTGGATCTGATTGCCATCGCCAACGATTATTACCTGGTACGTTTTGGTTCAATAGACAATCTGGAATTCGCAATGTTTGAAGGGCCATGGATGGTGTTGGATCATTACTTAATAGTGAAGCCTTGGATACCCGACTTTGATCCTCTGAATGATACAACTGAGAAGGTGCTCGTCTGGGCCAGGGTTCCTTACATTCCAGTTGAATACTATGACATAATCTTCCTGCGGAAGCTTGGAAACAGAATCGGTCGGACTATACGCGTTGATCAAGCTACCAGTCTTGTCTCTCGAGGTATGTTCGCTAGAATCTGTGTTGAGGTTGATATGCGAAAACCCCTCATATCTAAATTTACCTACGAGGGGAAGGTGCGAACTGTGGCTTATGAGGGCATGCATTTAGTATGCTTTTCATGCGGATTGTATGGGCATGCGAAAGATGGCTGTCCACTGTTGCGCAGGCCAACGGAGGAGAGTGAAGGTGCTGGGGCGGGAGAGGGAATAAATCAGGAAGCTAAAAAGGACCCACCCAAAGAGCCTAATGATGCAGTGGATCCCAAGGTCCTGTTCGGAGAATGGATGCTTGCACCACAATAGAGGGGCAGACCGCCGGCGGCCCTTTCTGACCGTAACCTCCGACCAGGGGGCAACCGTGGGGGAGGGGCACGAAGCAGAGATGGGATTGGTGTACATGCTTTTCGGTTCGCATCGCTGGCACTGGGAGAGGAGAATGGGGCTGGAGAGGTGGATGCGCATGGAATTACATATTTAGTTGGGGATGAAATGAGGGATCACCCACCCAGAGCTGAGGAGGGTGATATAGTGGTTTCTTGGAGCAGTCACGCGCAACCAATAGGGGAGAAAAAAGCAAGCGACCAAATGTGATAGTGAATGAGAAGCAAGTCCTGAACGAACCTACGCAACTGCGGGGGAAGGAAAATGTTGCGTCAACTTCTGCGCGCAGAGCAGGGCGGGAAAGTGTGGGTCGATCCGGACGTGCGGTGGAGGAGGATGAGCATGTCGTCGTTAGGGGAGCGCAGGGAGGTTTGGTAATAAGCTCATCACGCTTTACATGGGGGACACGGGAGGCTTGGCGCCTTTGTCGGTGTAGCAGTCGTCAAAGGACCACAGGGACGATGAGGGAGACGAAGTCATGGACCTTGAAGAGATCTCAGCGCAGCGGGAGAATAGAGGTAACGGGGGTGCTACTTAAGTACCCCCGGTTTTTGGTTTTCTTTTGGCTTTTATGTTTGTGTCGCTTTTGTTGTGTCTTATCTGCGTTTGGTTTTTCTAGCTTGGGGTTGCTCTTTCTTTCTTTGCTTTACCCTGTTTTGTTTTAAATGAACTGCATTTTTTAGAACTGTCAGGGTGCGGGAGGCAAGCGGTTCCTACGCACTCTTAACCATCTTATTAGGACTCACAGACCCCGCATCGTGAGGCTCTTTGAGCCCAAGGTCTCAGGTGTTCATGCAAACGAAATTTGTAAGAAGATTGGTTTCGAGGACTGGGTTCGGGTGGAAGCTGTTGGTTTCAGCGGTGGCATCTGGGTTTTCTGGAAGGAACCAGTGCGGATAACGGTTCAATGTACTCACCCACAATTTATTCTTTTGCAGGTGGAGTCTGATAACCAATCGCCTTGGCATCTGGCCCCTGTCCGCGGGAGTCCAACACATCATTTGCACCGATAGTTGTGGAAGGACCTCAGACATTCGGTGCAAGGCATCACGGGACCTTGGATCACAGCAGGGGACTTTAATTCAGTCACAAATAAGGAAGAGACAAGTAACTACAGTGTTTTTTCGACGCATCGGGCCTCAGACTTCACGAACTGGATCCACGAAGGTCTCATAGACTTGGGCTTCTTAGGACCTAAACTGACTTGGGTGAAGGATGGGAACACTGACACCTTCAAGGGTGCACGTTTGGATAGGGCCATGTGCAATACAGCTTGGCATACTAGATTTCCAGGTGCGTGTGTTACTCACCTAGCACGGATTGCTTCTGATCATGCACCTTTACTTTTGCAGGTGGAAGGGGGCCGACGAACGTCAATGTTGGCACCTTTCTTTTTCCAGGCACCGTGGCTCACCCATGCCAATTTGCGAGGAGTTTTTGAACGATCTTAGAAGTCGGAACGAAGTCTTTCAGTTAACACCAAAGACCTGGCAAATGAATTTGCAAGGTGGAATAAGGACACCTTCGGCAATGTGTTCAAAAGAAAGAGATCCCTCACGGTGAGGATTCTGGGTATCCAAAAGATCCTAGCGACAAGTTACCATAAGGGCCTTGCTAGACTGGAGGTCAAGTTATAGGAGGTTCTTGGAAAAACCTTACACCAAGAAGAACTCATTTGGTTTCAGAAGTCGAGGGAGGATTGGATCTACTCGGGGGATAGAAATACAGCTTATTACCATACCGCGGCTACAATTCGTAAATCCCGGAATTCCGTTCAACGACTTATTAATGACGAAGGCTTATGGCTTACCAAAGACCCTGAACTCCGAGAACACATCCAGAATTACTATGTCCAGTTGTTTTCTAAGGACACAGAGGAAGGCATCAGAGAGCAGCTAAATGCAAGTTTCCCCCCGCATTAGTAACCTGGATTGGGCACATTTTAACAGGGTGGTTAAGGTTGATGAAGTCCACAACGCGCTCAAGGACATGAAGCCTTTTAAGGCGCCAGGACCAGACGGCTTTCAGGCAGGTTTCTATCAACACATGTGGGACACAATAGGTCAGGACATGTTTAGGCTAGTAAGAGAAGCTTTCACGACAGGCACTTTTCCCGTGGAGATTAATGACACCCTGATTGCCTTGATTCCCAAAGTGCGGGCCCCGGAGAGCATTAAACAGTTCAGACCCATCAGCCTATGCAACATAATTACAAAATTATCACCAAGACGATAACGAACATACTGAAACACATCCTGCCCAAGGTAGTGGGACCTTTTCAAAGTTCTTTTGTACCAGGGCGGCAGATTACGGACAACGTCCTCATCTTCCATGAAGTTATGCATACCATGCGCGAGAAGAGAGGTGCAAAGGGCTATATGGCAATCAAATTGGACCTGGAGAATGCCTATGACCGCTTGTCTTGGAATTTTATTCAGGACACTTAGGAAAGTGCTGGTTTTACTACGACGATAAAGGACCTCATGATGACTTGCATAAGAACCTCCAGGCTATCAATTATCTGGAACGGGGAACGCTTGGAACCCTTTCACCCTGAACGAGGCATTAGGCAGGGGCACGCTATGTCACCGGCAATTTTTATGCTGTGTATGGAGAGGCTTAGCCAGGCTATTGTCACTGAGAACACTGATAAAAAATGGAAAGGTATAAAACTTGCTCCTAATGGTCCTGTTCTAACTCTTTTATGTTTTGCAGATGACATGGTACTTTTCACGGAGGCATCAAAAGAACAGGCTGAAATAGTGGAACAGTGCTTGGATCGCTTCTGCAGTGCATCGGGTCAGAAGGTCAGCTTGAGTAAGTCCCAGGTCTTCTTCTTGAAGAACGTAGACTCAGGATATGCAGACCTCATTGCAAGCCGTCTGCGAGTATCCCGAACTAACGACCTAGGCAAGTATTTGGGGGTGCCTGCCCTTCATGGCCGAGTTACTACAACCACCTATTCAGAGCTTCTAGACAGGATCTCAGGGCGTCTTGACGGTTGGAAAGCGAAAACCTTGTATCTGGCGGGAAGGGTCGTTCTGGCCAAGTTAGTACTGAACGCCATACCAATCTACACCATGCAAACAACGGCCCTCCTAAAGAGTATCTGCTTGGAAATAGAAAAACGGATGAGGAAATTTATTTGGGGGGCCAAAGGAACAGAGAATAAGCTAAGCTTAGCTAACTGGGGATTGGTCACGACTAATAAAGAAGCTAGCGGACTGGGTTTAAAGCGTATGCACGAGCTGAATACAGCAAATATGGCTAAATTCAGTTGGAGGCACAAGACGGAGGCAAATAGTTTGTGGGCACGAACCCTAAGCACGAAATATAATAGAACTGGAGGGATGAGATTGAGGCCGCTGGTAGACGCAAGTGTTCGAATGCTTGGAGAGGTATTTCAGGGGCACGAGACCTTGTGGAGAAGGGCCTGACACGGATAGTGAGGAACAGGAAAATGACCAAGTTCTGGATGGATGCCTAGATCACGCCTGAACCCCTTTATAATCAGTTGACCATACCTTTAGCCCTGCCTATTCTATATGCGAATGTCAGGGATTTTTGGGATGATCAACGCGGTTGGAAATGGGAGATCCTGGAAAACTTACTTCCTTTGGAAGTGAAGGATAGATTGGCAAGCTTTATCCTTGTAGAGGACCACTTGGCAGATGGGTTTGGTTGGGGACCAGATCACAGCGAGAAGTTCTCCATACATCTAGCTTATAACATGGCGACAAACGATAAGATAACAACCGAAGATGGCCAGTGGAGCAGGCTCTGGAGGCTTTGTGTTCCAGCAAGGCTGAGCATGTTTCTATGACTAGTCAGTCACGAGAAAATCCTCACCAATGCCGAACGAGTCAGACGCAGGTTAACAACTAACATGTATTGTTTTCGATGTGCAGGTAAAGTAGAGGACCTCGACCACCTGTTCAGATTTTGCTCGGCGGCTGAAACCATTTGGGGGTCAGCCCTCCAGCGCCGCATAAACAACCAGCTGTGTTCTTTGGCCTAGGGCAAATGGCTAGAGACCAACCTACGAGGAGCAGCGTGGTCGGGCTTTGGAGATGATTGGCCGGAACGTTTCTGCACTCGGCTATGGTAAATCTGGAAGTGGCGCAACGACGAGATCTTCAGAGGTCAGGCCATAGCGATGGGGCAGAAAGTGGAGTGGCTCCTTCGCTACGATGCAGAGGTTAAGTTTGCGTTTGCAAAGCACAGGTCTATAGCTATGAAGCACAAACTACCAGCAGATGTACGAGTGGGGTGGAGGAAGCCAGGAAGTGGTTGGATGAAGCTCAATACCGATGGTTGCTGTAAGACTAATGGTGTAGCTGCTTGCGGAGGTTAGATCAGAGACTCGAATGGGGACTGGCATCGTGGTTTTACTCTTAACCTTGGCCGATGCCAAGCTAAGGAAGCCGAAGCTTGGGCAATTCTGCAAGGGTTGTGTATGGCGGGGGAATACAACGTCACAAGACTGGTGGTAGAATGCGACTCCAAAAGGATAATAGACACCTTGCGCGAGCTAGTGGAACGTCAGGACACTTCTAGCAACGTTATCAGGCAATGCTGGAGGGCGGCTGAGCGTATCCCGGAGGTAGAGTACGTACATGTCTTCAAGGAGGTGAATAAGGCAGCAGACAAACTAGCTACGGTGGCAATCTCCCATCCGATTGGCCTTTGAGTTTTAAATGACATGCCTCAGGAGCTAATAGACGAGATCCGACTTGACAAATTGGGAGAAAATGAGCCAAGACGAATCCCCAGAGATACAAGTGGGGTTTTAGGTCATTTATAGTTGTTTTTCTGGGTAACCTCCTCCTGTTTAAACAAAAAAAAAAAAAATTGTTTGGGAGGGAATTTTTTTCCCTGAGTGTAGGCGTGTGAGTTTTTTTTTTTTTTTTTTCTTTGGAGGGAAACAAAAAAATTAAAAAGAAGGACGATATTCTAAAAACATTCTAAAAAATTCTAACCAAGGAAAATATTTCAGTTAAAAAGGGTAATCGAAATTTGTCGGTTCGGTCCATTAATGATACTCGTTGGAGATTTACAATTGGCCGGAAAATGATAACGTCTCCGTATCTCTGCCACCCTTGAAAAATTCAATTTCAGTGGAGTTGATGCATATAGAGGAGTAAGTGAGCGTTGTGGGCAGTGGAGCTGATGATGCATAGGGAGGAGTGAGCGCTATGGGCAATCATCCATTACTAGATGAATTGGATGAATTGTTGAAGAAAACACCACCCCCATGATATTTTTGACGATTACAATTTATGGTCCACATCCTAATCCCGGAGGATAGTGAAACAATAGATCACAGATCAGTACCTATTTTAAAGCCATTTAATTAATTAAGATTACACAAATCGTATAGTATAGTGGCACTGTGTGTAAAAGTAAGGGTCATTCCCATTTGATTATTTTCCTTGGTAAGAGTCTAAATATTGATAATTTTATCTTGCCTTTAAGCTTATTTTCATTGTTATTGTTATAACTTTGGCCAAAGTGTCCCTCATTTGATTCATTTGTGTGTTTATGTGTAATTCTTGATGATTTAGATGAATTGAATGATTTTTGGGGCATTTTGGATGCATGTATAGTCAATGGGAGCCAATGAGAAGCTATGAAGATGGAGGCAACACCTCTTAGAGAGTCAAATTATGGTGTGTTTAGTTGTCTTGCTTATTTGGACAAACAAAGGCAAAAGTAGAGCAAAAGAGCAAGACGTTGAAATTCCCGCACAAATCATCCACTTCTCAGTATTTTAGCCATATCTCTGTGTATAAATACCCATCATGAGACTCATTTGTAAACAACCCCAAGAGCTTAAGAAAATAAAAACTAATCTAATAGTAATCCGTATTATTTATGAATTATTTAAAATTGAAACATATATATACAAATGTTATTTGGTCAATCGATACTTTCAAACCAAATAAACCATTAACTGAAATTCTAAAAAATTCTTAATCAGGGAAAAAAATTTCAGTTAAAAAAGGTAATCGAAATTTGTCTGTTTGGTCCATTAATGATACTGCATTGGAGATTTACAATTGGCCGGAAAATGATAACGAACGTCACCGTATCTCTGTCACGCTCGGAAACTTCAACTTTGGCCGGAGAGGTGTCCCATAGAGTTGATGATGCATATTGAGGAGTGATAAGAAAGTGCACTACAGCAAAAGAAATATGGGATACACTCATCAGTATCGGAGAAGGCGACAAACAAGAAAAAGACAGCAAGCTAACAATCGCCATGAAAAGGTTTGAAGATTTCAAAATGTTCTAAGTGAAAGCATCACCGATATAGAAGCTCGCTTGATGAAGATTGTTGGAGAAATCAATGATTTTGGTAAAACCACCACTTAGAAGGAAATATCCCTCCAGGTATTGCGTGGACCAGTGTTGCAAAAATCCCGCATAGGCGCCGATTAATCGACGCCTAGGCGCTAAGCGTTGGCCGACCACCTAGTGTATCACCATAATTGGTGGTCTAGGCAGTCGGCCGACTAGGCCGCTTAGGCGTTGACCGCCTAGGCCTCCTAGACGCCGACTAGGCCGCCTAGTCAGCCCGATTAGCTATTGTTCTTTTTTTTTTCATAGGTTATTTCACTTAAAACGACATTGTTTTGAGCGAAATAACCCTAAATTATTCGAACTCTAGATGATTTTAAATTAATATTTAATATTTTAGTATTAACTGTTAAAATATTAAATAGTTTATAGTTATTATTCTTTAAAAATATTTAAAAATTTTAAACATACTTTTAAAAAATAAAAAATAAAATAGAAAAATACGCGGGTGCCTAGGCACTGATTAATCGCTGCCTAGGCGCTAGGCGCCCTCTGGACGCCTAGCGATTTTTTCAACCATGGCGTGGACTACCTTTTAGTTGGGACATGAAGGTGACCGCAATGCGAGATCATAGAGATCTAAGGATGTTATTTATGGATAAACTCTGTAGTGATCTTAAAGCGTACATATGAGTTCGAGATGAAGACGAGAATCGAAGAAGAACGTGATGAACGAACATCCACATTGATGGCCGATCAACCATCAACATCCAGGTCAGTAGGAAATAGTGATTTTTTATCTGACGAACAATTTGCTTTATTTGTCAGAAAATTCAAGAAGTTTATGCGAAACAACAACGCCAAAAAACCATCTCATGGAAACTCTTTCAAAGAGGCTAGGAAATCGAGGAAAGAACCAGTCGAGGATAACACAAATGTCTGTTATAATTGTAGGAAATCAGGACATTTTATAGCCGAATGTCCACACCCCAAGATAAGCAAAAATTCGAATACTTCTAACCCTTCGCAGGAAGAATACAAGCCAAAGAGAAGAGATTCAAGAAGGATAAGCGAAATGCACTAATAAGCGATTCATTAGAGACAAGTGAATCCGAAGAATCATCCAGTGATGAGAGCGACACATCACAAGAGGATACGACCTTATTATTATTATTATTATTATTATTATTATTATTATTATTATTATTATTATTATTATATTATTATTATTATTATTATTATTATTATTGTTGTTGTTGTTGTTATTGTTGTTGTTGTTGTTGTTGTTGTTGTTATTATTATTGTTAGATCACAAAATATTTAACATAGATCTGGTTTGTCAACTACATATGATCAATAGGAAGGTGTTCGTCATGGGAATTCAGATCATGTGATGCAATTCATTAATTGTATTTAGAATATCTAAAATAAAACAATTAATTTTGTTCTCCCAATTGAAAATTTCAAGATTCTCTCTCATGCAATATAAGTTATTTTTTTCTCCATTCTTAGTAGTTTTGAAAATGTTAGAATAAAATGTATTATAAGCTTTGTTTAGCAGAGCTTATTTAGGAGCTTATAGCTTATTTTAAGTTACTAATAAGTTATAATTAGAAAATTTTTATAGTATTGAGCAACAATAATATCAATATTGTACCTGATATAATTATGTAGGTGTAGCTATCTAGTTGTATGAGTAGTATGGCATTTGCATTGTGTCGCTAAACACCTTAGATTTTTTTCTTTTTGATTATAATTTTAATTAATAATGAATGAATATTTCCAAGATAACCAGTGAATATTTCAAATGCAAAAAAATTACAAAACTAATCAAAAATTATTTTAATTTGATTTAGTAAGATTTGAACCCGGCCCATTTCAAATCATTATCAGTTTGTTCTTTTCGGTGTGACACAATTCCTAGCACTACAATGACAAAAAGTTGTTTTCATAGCATCAATTGATTAACCAATTCAAAATGATCGAGTTGATAGCTCTATTTCATTGATAGTTATAAGGTGAAGCTGAGGATATACTTTCTATCATGTAAAAAGGTATAAAATTAGTTTTATTGTGAATATTGAATACCAGTGTACATTATATATGAGTTTTACTTTTTTTTCCACTCAAAATTTACGATACAAATGGTACTAAAGGATTTGGATGTCACAAGGCAAGAAGTTGACTTGAGAGGCTCAAAATGATAGTGCTGAACAAGAAGTTTAATTTCTGTTTGGCAGGATTCACTGCACCCATCAATGCTTTGTTTATGGCCAAAATGGAATGATTTATTTGAACCTTTCTATGTTTCCTAGATTGCTTTGACATTTTTCATGGTTTATTTTAGTGGCTATCAACCCTAGAGAGCCTACATCTTTAAAATATTGTAAAAGGTGAATTGAGTGGTTGTAGTTCGAGTTCATAATTGGAATTTAAAATTTAGTTGAACCTTATTAATTCTTAAAAAAAAATTTAAATTTTCAATCACTCAATTATTTCTTAATTATAAATTTTTTCTTTTATAAATTTGTTATGAGAATATTCAAAATAGAGAGATAATAAGGGAGAAAAGGATGATCATATCTTATTCATCATCAACCTCATGATACAAGGTATATATGCCTACATCTAATACAAAGGATATAAATATACATAATGAGCAATCAAAGCATCCGTTACAAATAATGTCCACTAAATATGTTTATAACACTCCCTCTTGGACATTATTTGTCCACAATCTTGCGTCGATAAAAACTTGCTAGGAAAACCCTGTGGGAAAAAACTAGACAAGAAAATAGTGCAATAGATGTAGGCTAACTGGTGTACTATTTAATAAATAGTACAATAGATAGTATAGAGAATAGCATTGTAGATGTAGGCTAACTGGTGTATTGAATTCATTCAAGGGAAAAAACTCAATCTTCAAGTCGAGATAATACTTAGCTTTCCCAATTTTTTGTTTCAAAAATCTCCGTCTTTAGACATGAACTGATATCATCAAGCTCTTTAGATATTTCATTGATGCTTATACCATCAATATTGACTGAGATAACGTGTTAAGTGAATATCCAAAATAGAAAGATAATGGAGAAAATGAAGATCATCTCTTATTCATCATCTACCTCGTGATACAAGGTATATATGTCTACATCTAATACAAAGGATAAAAATAAACATAATGAACAATCAAAACATCAGTTATTACCTCCGTTACAAATGATGTCCACTAAATATGTTTATAACAAAATTTAATTTTTAATTATTAAATGATTTGTCAATTTCGTCCATCAATTAATAAGAAGTAATTAAGGCTTTGTTTATATCCAGAGTTTTACAAAAGCATATTTGTACCTTTTAATTAATTAATTTTCTATATCTAAAAACATAATAATTGTCAATACAAGTTATGTCCTTGATTTTTGTCCCTTTTTTATATGTTAATAAATATATACATTTTGCTTTAATTGTTGTACATTCATTTGCATTGGACAAAATCACCCTTACACCGTTATAACACCATTAGTTTTTAATATATCTACCAATCTTACCATACACCTACATCTATCATATCTTTTTTCTATTTTTAATTATCATTTTATTAAAATTATCATATAACAATTAATTTAATTATAAATTATATTTTAATTAAATATTTATATGAATGCTAAATTATATATATATATATATATATATATATATATATATATATATATATATATATATATATATATATAATGTATGTATATTATTTGTGTATCTATATCAATATATCATATATGTGAGTGTTAGCTTAGTATTATTTGTAAATTATTATTATATAAAAATATAATTTATTTATTTTTTGTTTTGATCACTATATTATTTAAATATATGATAATTCAAAAGTATCATCACTTTAAGAAATTGCAAAACATAATTTTAACTAATTTTTTAAATTTTGTTATTTACAAATATTTTAATATTAGGCATAAGTTTTCGCGCATCGCGCGTACAAAATGCTAGTTATCATATATAAAACCTATATTATACAAATGGAGTTTGATGTCACAGATAGTCCAGAAATTAAATTTATAACTCGTTTAATAATTAAAGGGCCATGTTTGTAAAAATTAAGGGAGATGGACAACATACTATTTAATAATTAAAGGACCATTATGGCCAGCTTTCTTTTTGGGTGGTGGTGTTTCTGAGCAATGGCGATGCTTCCATTGATATGATATTGGGAGGTGAGGTTGTTTCCTAGATAGAATTATCCACTCCAATGGGTAGGTAGCCCATTATGGCCAGTTTCAACTTTCAATTATGTTTCTTGTTCTACCAACATGCTAGGTTAAATTTTTTTTTTTTTTTTTTTTTTATCAAAAACAAACCAAATTCATAGACATCAAGAAATTAAATGTTCAATACACGAAGGAATTGTAAGATATATTAAATATAATATATATATTATATATAATATATCTATGTATTTATATATAGTAATATATAAATAGGAAGAGAGAGAGAAAGATTAGAATGAATAATGTTTATTCACTGGATGATTTAACAAATGAAAATACACCACATATTTATACTAAGAGAAAGTTAATAAATAGGAAGCTAATGCTCCATGTACTACTCCTATAATCTAGGCATGTTCCACATTAACATACATGACTCACCCATGTTTGTTTTTATTAAATTCTTTGACTTGGTTTAATTACTAATAATATTAATAATATTATTATTATAACATTGCCTCCTTTAAACCAAGTTGGATGTATTGGTCATTCCAATTTTCTTCTTCAATTTGAAAAATGTCTCCGTCTTCAAGTTCGATATACTGACTTGTATTTCGTTTTGTAAACCCACTTTACTCCAATTGGCTTCTTCCCAGGAGGTAAATCTGTGAACTCCCAGGTACCATTCTTTTCAATGGTACGTATCTCCTCATCCATTGCCTTAAGCCAATGAGTTTCTGTAGCAGCCTCCTCAAAAGTTAAAGGATCACAATCTGCAAAGAGAGCAAATTGAATAATCTCTTCATCAGACAGGTCATTATCATGACCCAAAACATAATCTTGCAAGCGAGCTGGTAAATGGCGCTCGCGCTGAGATCGTCGAATTGACGATTCTGGTTGTGAAGGAGACTGGACATTATCTGGAATCGGTTGCTCTTCAACAATATTTTCAATAGCAGGAATAACAACTAAACTTTCATCTTTAGCTAACCAATCCAGGCACCATATTCATCAAAAGTGACATCACGACTTATAACAACCTTTTTAGTTTCAGGATTGTATAGTTTATAAGCCTTTGAAGCGTCACTATAACCAATGAATATGCACTTCTCACCTTTATCATCCAATTTCTTTCTCAATGGATCTGGCACATGTGCATATGCCAAACATCCAAAAACCTTAAGATTTCTTATAGAGGGTTTCTTCCCACTCCAAGCTTCCTCAGGTGTCATATCACGGACACTCTTAGTTGGACACCTATTCAACACATAGACAGCACAAGCAACAGCTTCTGCCCAAAAAAGTTTAGGCAGATTCTTGGATTTCAACATGCACCTTACCATATCCATGGTAGACCTATTCTTCCTCTCAGCCACTCCGTTTTGTTGTGGAGTGTATCTAGCTGTCATTTGATGTTGAATACCCTTCTTCTTCAGAAAATCATCACAGGCAATATATTTTGTACCTTTATCAGTTCTCAAGATTTTAATTTCATAACCACTTTGCTTTTCAACAAAAGCCTTAAATTGTTTGAAAACATCACATGCTTCAGACTTTTGCTTCAGAAAGTAAACCCATGTTTTTCTACTGAAAGCATCAATGAAAGTAATAAAGTACTTACAACCTCCATGTGAGGGAACCTCCAACGAACATAGGTTTGAGTGAATAATCTCCAACTGTTTTGTAGCTCTCCTTGACTTGCCCACGGGAAAGGGATCTCTATGCTTCTTCCCAATCACACAAATCTCACATATACGATCACGGACATTCACAACAGGTAAATCAGAAACAAGTTCCTTTCTCGCAAGATAGTTTAACCCAGAGAAATGGAAATGCCCAAACCGCATATGCCATAACCAATTATCATCACAAACTTCAGAATTAAAGCAATCAAGGAGAGTATGCTTAATTTTCAAAGGAAATAGTCGATTTTGGGACATATTTACCTTTGCAATCAAAACTCCTTTAGCATCTTCAATGGTACAACACCCCTGGGCAATATGTATCTTATATCCTTTTTCTGACAACTGACCCAAACTCAACAAATTTTGGTGTAGTTCAGGAACATAGAACACATCGGATATAAAATTGTGAGTACCATCCTTCAACTGAATAGAGATTTTACCTTTTCCCAAAATTGGCACCTTTGACTTATTGCCAAATGTCACTTCAGACTGGACTGATTCATCTAGTTCAGAAAACAATTCTTTCTTCCCACACATATGGTTACTACACCCAGAATCCAAGAACCATATGTTTTTATCTGCAGAAAAACTATCACTGGCCAAAAGTAAGGTTTCAGAATTCTCACCAGACTTTTCAGCAGTTTTTTCAGCAATGTTTGCTTGATTTCCACGATTGTTGTCCTCATTATACCAACAATCTGCAATCTTGTGCTCATACTTGCCACAATTGTAGCAATGAAATGGAAATTTACCTTGTTTGGTATTACCTCCACCTCTTCCTTGGTTGGAGTTACCACGACCTCTTCCACTAGATCCTCCTCTTCCTCTTCCACGACCTCTACCAGATCCTCCACCTCTTTGATTAGTGCCAGTCACATTAAGGGTGACTTGGCTCTTCAAAGCTTCTTCTGCTAGTGGTTCCGATTTTGACGCAATCCTGTCAATATGACTTTCTACCATACCTTTCAGCTCTGCAATTGATAAGAGCTCAGTTTTGTGTGACTCTGTGATCGAAGCCACCACATGGTCATACTTCATCGGCATAGTTCGAAGAACTTTTTCAACCACTGCACCATCTTCAATTGTATCTCCGTATAACCTCATCTTATTCACCATATCAATAAGACGAGTGAAATACATATCTACTGTTTCTGTAGAGGTCATCTCACAATTATCGTACAACCTTCTCAACGACTGCAACTTAGACTTCTGCGCCCGATCGACTCCTTTGTGTGACACCTTTAAGATGTCCCAAGCTTGTTTTGCTGTTTGAGCACGAGCTAATTGCCCAAAAATGGAATAATGAACACCTTGGTGAATCTGACCCAAGGCCAATTTATCTCGCCGTATAGCGGCTGCATCAGCTCCTTCGGGTAGACCGGGATCAACAAAGCTCCAAAGATTTTGAGCTTGCAAATGTGTGGACATCATAATTTGCCAATAATTGTAATCGAGTTTACCGTCCAATTTGGGACCCGACCATACAATATTGAAATTTGTTGCCATATTTCACTACGGGAAATATTTCGGGGTTGAAAGGTTGACTGGCTCTGATCTGATACCAAATGTAAGATATATTAAATATAATATATATATTATATATAATATATCTATGTATTTATATATAATAATATATAAATAGGAAGAGAGAGAGAGAAAGATTAGAATGAATAATGTTTATTCACTGGGATGATTTAACAAATGAAAATACACCACATATTTATAATAAGAGAAAGCTAATAAATAGGAAGCTAATGCTCCATGTACTACTCCTACAATCTAGGCATGTTCCACATTAACATACATGACTCACCCATGTTTGTTTTTATTAAATTCTTTGACTTGGTTTAATTACTAATAATATTAATAATAATATTATTATAACAGGAATGATAAAAAAAACCAACTAGAGTGACTAGGTAAAGAACTAACGGCCATGAGTACGCTTATTCACTAATCGAGGAACATACTTAATAGACACTGATTCAAAGTGTCGTTTGAGATACCGGCAATGTCTTAAAACACAACCCGCATAAGAATAATCCAGAAAGACGTGATTAAAAAATTTGCACACCATTTGACAATTAGAATGAATCACCACATTACACCAACCTTGTTCTACCAACATGCTAGGTTAAAGCTTTTATCCATCAAACAAATTGAACAAAATTGGCATAAAATTTAAAAATTGATATAAACATGGTGGATAAAAACATGCAACCAGATCTCCTATAAAAACAATCAATTTTCTATTTGCACTAAAAAAAAATTAAATTTGTCAATGAAAAAATCTTTAAGTAAATTACTGAAACCTGTAGGTTTTTAATTTATCAACATGTTTCCTTTGTTTGATAAAACACTGAAATCTGTAGATACTTAAGTTGTAGCTATTTAATCCGTAGCTAAATCCGTTGATATTTTGATATTTTCTTGTAGTGTTTGAGTTTGACTCACTTAAAGTTCTTGATTCAATAATTTAAAAATTGGAGATGTTTTTTTAGCAATTAATCCATATCAAGATCATTCCATTGGTTGAACAATAAAAATTTAGGAGTCAAATTAATATTTTTTTTGCCTATATAATATTTCTGCTGAATGTTTCGCCAAATTGAGAAGATTTGATATCTTTTAAATTAAAAGATTAGAAGATATCAACATCAAAGTATTGAGTTACTACTATACTACTATCTCGAGTCCTTGAGTATAATGGTTTTGTCACGTTTAGTCCTAAACTTTCAAATTGACCACGTACCTGTAGTCCAACTTTCAAATTGTTACCATATGTAATCCAAGTTAAGCTGTTTACCCATAGTCCTTCAACTATCAAATTTTAACCAATTTCATTCAATCTGAAAATGTACATTATTTTTATCCTTAGTGTATATTATTTCCGCCCCTAGTCTACATTATTTTACCATGCTTTTGTTTAAATGCATCAGAATGAAAATTTCACTCAATCTGAAAATGTACATTATTTTTGTCCTTCGTATACATTATTTTTGCTCCTAGTGTACATTATTTTACAGTGGTGTTTAAGTGCATCGGAATGAAAATTTCATTCAATCTGAAAATGTACACTATTTTTGTCCTTAGTGTATATTATTTACGCCCCTAGTATACATTATTTTACAGTGCTGGTGTTTAAATGCATCAGAATGAAATTTTCATTCAATCTGAAAAGAGCAAATTACACTTTTGGTCCTGTGACTATAGGGGGCGTGTTAATTTCGGTCCATGACTTTTAAAACTAACAATTTAGTCATTTAACTATACTTTTTTTAGCATATTTGGTCCACCCGGCCAAATCACCGGTGAATTTTCACCGGAAAAACGTAATCCATTTTAAATTAAATATTAGGGGGGTAAATCGGTAATTTGTCACCTCCTTCTTCCTCCGCCGAGCCGCTCAATCTGGAAACCGTCTCTTCTCCATCGAAGAACTCCCCGCCTAGTTCTCCGAGAGTGATGGGGTTGAAGCTTCGTCTAGGGTTCGTGAGCGAAAAAGGCTTGGGAGAAGGACTGCCACTGTTTTTCTTCCTAAAATCAATCCCTAAGTCAATCAATATCTTCCTAAAATTAAACCACCGTTTCAAAGATTGAGAATTTTCCAAACTTGAAATCATCCCTTGTGTGCTGATCTCTTGCTTCATCTATCAACAATGGCTGGCTCCTCCAATAGATCTCCGTTGTCGGTGCCGTTAAGGCACAGTCTCCACCCAAGAACCTCCTCCTCCTCGGAGGTCCATTCCGCCGCCAAAGAAGTTTCAGTGGCAGTCCTTTTCCCAAGCCTTTTCCGCTCACGAACCCCAGACGAAGCTTCAACCCCATCACTCCCGGCGAGCTGGGCGGCGAGTTCTTCGATGGAAGAAGAAGGAGGTGACGAAATGACCGATTTACCCCCCCCCCCCCCCCCCCCCCCCCCCAAATATTTGATTTAAAATGGATTACGTTTTTTCGGCGAAAATTCACCGGTAATTTGACCGGGAGGACCAAATCTGCTAAAAAAAACATAGTTAAAGGACTAAATTGTTAGTTTTAAAAGTTATGGACTGAAATTAACACGCTCCTTATAGTCACATGACCAAAAGTGTAATTTGCTCATCTGAAAATGTACATTATTTTTACTCCAAGTGTACATTATTTTTACTCCAAGTGTACATTATTTTACACTGTTGGTGTTTAAGTGCATCAAAATGAAAATTTCATTTATGTAGTGCCTTTGGTCATTTTGTTATAGTTGTATATGTATTTCCATTTTGTTATAGTTGTAGTATTTTTTGTAATTTTCAATTAATTAGGAGCTATTGGGGCTTTCAATTCATTCAATTGAAGAAGCATATACTCTATATAATGACTATGCATAGGTTGGGATTTAGTGTCAGAAATGGCAAGCAATATTACTTTGCTGGTAGTCAGAATGTGAAAATAAAAAAGTTTCATGTTCAAAGTTTGGTGTCAGAAATGGCAAGCAATATTACTTTGCTGGTAGTCAAAATGTGAAAATAAAAAAGTTTCACTGTTCAAAGTTTGGTTTAATCAAATGCAAATCAGATAAATCTGCTAGGTCTTATTCAAGGGTAGACACACGTACAGGATGTCCTGCTTTTGACAGTTTGATGTGGACCTTAATTAAGATTGCACAAAATCGTATCACATCACAGTGTGTAAAAGTAAAGATCATTCCCACAAAGGATGTTGTATTTGAGTCCCTATAACAGTTTTAGCAAGTTTGTTGAAGATTTCAAATACATTCTCCTGCCGGCTCAACGATTTGTTTATGTTTCGCCAGCCAGTCTCTTTTATGTTTTAATGGATGGATTTGAGGATCATTTTCGTTTAAGTGCATGCTTTTATCTTTCTTAATCTGTGACTTTTTGCTTCTGTTTGATTATTAATTTGCTTGTGAATTATCATATGTTTTTGGTGATACATGGTTGATTTTTATGTGGTAGCCATGTAATCATTTCAATAACACTATAATTTGATTCATAAAAGTTTCTCCTATTATTCATTGACTTGATTAATTGGGAGAAACATAACCTGATTGCAGATGATTGTTAGTGAAGGCATTGTTTGCTTGATGCCAATAAACTTTTGACATTTTGTAGTGTGAAAAATGTTTTATGATGGTAATATATAAAGTACCTATTTGGTTGCCTTCTTCTTGCATTTTTAATACCATCTAGGGTCCTCCGAGTATAGTGATTTTGCCATGTTTAGTCCTAAACTTTCAAATTACCACCTATGGTCCTTCGACTTTCAAATTTTTATCATCCGTGGTCCAAGTTAACCACACAAGGTCCTTCAACTATCAAATTTTCACCACCCATGGTCCTTATAGGAGGACCGCGACTGGTTAAATTTTAAAAGTCGAAGGACCATAGGTGGTTAACTTGGACTACGGATGGTAACAATTTGAAAGTCGAAGGACCATAGATGGTAATTTGAAAGTTTAGGACTAAACGTGGCAAAACCACTATACTCGGAGGACCCTAGATAGTATTAACTCTTTCTTCATTTGAAACAATATAATGGAGGTTGATCTTGTCTTCACTTTTTTACATGCATGGTTATTGCATAAGCTTTACATCCAACCCTATTTGCAACTATTAGTGTGGAAAAAACATTCTTTGCAAATTTCAATGAAGATTATCAAAATATGATTACGCAACTGGCCGGATGGATGGACGTTTATGTGTTAAATGAGTGTTTACACTCATATGTAGAAAAAAGCGTCTTATTGATGGGTTTGTGAGTCTCATTAAACAGGTTCGAATTAAGGGAAAAAGCTAAGTAGAACCAGGAACACAACAATTTGTTACGCAGTTCGGAGCTTAACTCCTACGTCTACGGGGCAACTCAATCCACTAAATGTTCACCAAGATTACAAGGGGTTTGAATACACAATAGGCCTCAGCCACAACAACCGACTTTAATCTTCACAACATCTAATTTAGAAGAGGTGCATGCATGCCGATTCACTTCTTCAAACTTCAACACTGCTGAGCCAGCTCCAGTAGGGCTGTGCAATACCCAAACTACCCGAAGAACCCGCCCGACCCGAACCAGCACTTATCGAACGGAGATGAAATCCGACGGGTTCGGGTCATATCCGAATCGACCCCACGCAACGTGGCTATTAAAGACGGACGGGTAGGGTTAGGAAATATCCCATCCGAACCCGTCCGAGATCCGAAATATGGCCTAAGTATAAAACGTTGCGTAGACCTAGGGTTTGCCATTCTCTCATTCTCCACTCGGCCACTCCCCACTCCCCAGAGCTTCTTCTCCTTAGTCTCCTACTCTCCTCTAGCCATCCCCATCCGATCTTCAGTCCTTCTCATCTAATCTTCTTCCTTAATCTCCTTCTCCGGTGAATCTCTGATTCTCTGAAGTCTGAACTCTGAGTCTCAACTGAGAGTCTGAGAGTATCTGTGGTTTTGAACTCCCCTTCGACTCCTTCGAGGCTTCGAGTCTTCGACAGTTCGACGGGAATCTTGTGGAAGTGTATGTGGCTCTGTGCAAACTGGAAAGACGGCAAGAAGGAAGAAGCCGGACGGCAGTGGAAGTGGAAGTTTGACGCCTTGAAGCCCTAGATCTCAGAGGGAACCTTTGAGAAAACAAGTAAAATGTAACTCTGTCATTTTTTTCTTATTTTCCTGTTGCATGTTTGTGAGTTTGTCTGTTCTGTTCTAGTTCTATGATGTTGCATGCACCCTAATTTGTAATTGAACCCTAATTTTAAGGGGTTTCCACATACGTGATGAATTTGTGCTTATTCTGATATGTGATGAATTTGTGCTTATTCTGATATGTGTTTGTAAGTTTATGGTTAAAGGACCCTTAAATTTGTTATTTCAAAATGTATGATGGTGGTGGAAGTGTGGAACTGTGGAAGCCTACTGAATTTGTAATTGATATTATGAATTTGTGCTTTTGAATTTATGATGTCCATGTTGGAAGCATACTGAATTTGTAAATTGTAATACTGTTGAATGTTGTTGAATACTTGAACTGTGGAAGTGTTAAGCCCTAATTTGTGGCCATTTCCATAAAATGATGAGTTCATGATTCATGAATCATGACTCCTGATTATGGAATGAATTTGTTAATGTGTTATATACTTATATGTAATTAATTCCTAAAATCAGGACTCCATAAAATGAGGAGTTCATGAATCATGAATCCTGATTATGGAATACATATCACTGTGACAGTGTATGGCCTTATGTGTGCTTGTGTGAAATTTGAATCCTATTTGCTCATCCATAAATCTTTATAGATGGAGAGCAATCAAAATATAAGTGGAAGTGGAACTGGACCTCTTCCAACAAAGTGGAACTGGACCTCTTCCATCTTCTTCATTGGAACTGGACCTCTTCCATCTAAAAAACTATAAGTTAGAAGCTGAAAAATGAAGAGCTGTTAACTAGCTGATTATGCTTAAAAGTGTTTGGTAAAATTAGCTTTTTGATAAGTTGATAAATGTAAAAAAAAAAAAAAAAAAAAAAAAAAAAAAAAAAAAAAGGACATTTTCATAAAATTTAAATGATGTGATTATTATGTTGTTTTTATATTATTAAATATATGAGATATTTAATTTATAAAAAGAAGTTTTTGTTTTTATTATAATATATATGAGATATATATTAAATTAAAACAAAAGGAAAAAAGTTTTTAATTGGAAACGATAAATGATGTCATTCAAAAAAAAAAAAAGAGTTAGATGTTTAAGGAATTGTTGGACGGTGAAGAGTTGCAGCAGAGGATAGATAAAAATATAGGAGAAAAGAAAATATCAAAAAGATTTTAATTGGGAAAGGTAAAAGATGGTCATTTATTTAAAATAATAAGGATAAAGAAAGAAAGAAAGAAAAATTAGAACCTTAGGGTTGTGTAGAGATTTAGAGAGGGTTCTAGATATTAATTATTAGTCATAGGTTCTAGTTGATCTCCACCATCCATTAATGAGGTTGAATAGGTATAAATACCCCTCATGAGGCTCATTTGTAAACAACCTCCAAGAGCTTAAGAAAATAAAAACTAATCTAATAGTAATCTGTATTATTTATGAATTATTTAAAATTGAAACATATATATACAAATGTAATTTAGTCAATCGATATTTCAGTTAAAAAAGGTAACCGAAAGTTGTCAGTTCGGTCCATTAATGATACTCCGTTGGAGATTTACAATTGGCAGGAAAGTGATAACGAACGTCACCGTATCTCTGCCACAGTCAGAAACTTCAACTTTGGCCGAAGAGATTTCCAGTGGAGTTGATGATGCATATTGAGGAGTGAGAGCAAATATAAGAAAGTGCACTACCGCAAAATAAATATGGGATACACTCATCAGTATTGGAGAAGGTGACTAACAAGAAAAAGACAACAAGCTAACAATTACCATGAAAAGGTTTGAATATTTCAAAATGTTCCCAAGTGAAAGCATCATCGCTATAGAAGCTCGCTTTATCAAGATTCTAGGAGAACTCAATGATCTTGGTAAAACCATCACTTAGAAGGAAATATCCCTCAAGGTATTGCGTGGACCAATGTCGCAAAAATCGCGCCTAGGCGCCGATTAATCGACGCCTAGGCGCTAACCGTTGGCCGACCGCCTAGCTTATCACCATAATTGGTGGTCTAGGTAGTCGACCGCCTAGTCGGTCGACTAGGCCGCTTAGGCACTGACCGCCTAGGCCTCCTAGACGCCGACTAGGCCTCCTAGGCACCGACTAGGCCGCCTAGTCAGCCGATTAGCTATTGTTCTTTTGTTTTTTTTTAATAGGTTATTTCACTCAAAACTACATCGTTTTGAGCGAAATAACCCTAAATTGTTCAAACTCAAGATGTTTTTAGATTAATATTTTATATTTTAGTATTATAACGGTAGGAATCCAGGACATTTTATGGCCGAATGTCCACACCCCAAGGTAAGCAAAAATTCGAATACTTCTAATCCTTCGCAAGGAGAATACAAGCCGAAGGAAAAGAGATTCAAGAAGGATAAGAGAAAGGCACGAATAAGCGATCCATTAGAGATAAATTAAAGAAGGCATTGTATGGGTTAAAACAAGCTTCACGAGCTTGGTACGACACATTATCAATGTTCTTAATTAGTTGTGGATTCACCAAGGGCCTAGTCGATAAAACTCTATTTAGAATTCAAGAAAATGATAACTTATTTAAGGATATTATATTATATAGTATTAAAATATTATATACTACTAGTATTTGCACCCGTGCGATGCACGGAATGAATTTGTTGTAATATAGTAAGAATACATGAATCGATATATAATTATTTAAATTAGAACATCCAATATTATATAGTGCAATTAAAGATATGGTTTGCATCGTTTATATATTTTGATGTTATTATTGTTTGAATTTGTGTAAATAATTGCTCAAATTAATAGCTAATGTCTAGATGTACACATATGGTGCTATAACTTTGAAGATTTTATTTATCATTATTTAGTATTTTCATAAATTAGGCAAATGTGCTCGTTCTCTAACAACTCAGTTATAGAAATGAATTGGTATCCTTATTCATTTGTATGGAAGATATATTTTTTTGTCAAGATATATAACAATTTTTTTCATTTAAAAAAAAAAACTTAATATCCCCGATTATATTTACACATTATTGAAACCTCTTTGTAGACGACATTGGTAGTGACAACGCAATCTTGTTCATCTTCGTCTAGAGCTAACACCTTCAATTCATCGGGACGGGTTATTTGGGTTAAAATATATAATGGTAGAATATTACTCAATTAGTTATCCTTTTATATTTTCAGTCAATTAGTGATATCAGATTCATTTTCAGCAAATTATTTTTTTTATTTTCAGTCAATTAGTCAATTAGAATATCAAATGCAGTGATATTTTTACCTAATTTTCGTTCCATTTTTAATTGATGATGTAGATATTATTATTGAAATATTTCCGTTCCATTTTTAATTTACCTTTACTATTGTTTAAAATATGCATTTATTATTGATAATTTAGAATATTATTATTGAAATATTTTTTTCTCAAATTTTTAATTTTCATTCCATTTTTAATTAAAATGCAATAATCTGACCATTTATTTGTCTTTTTTCTAGTCAATTATGGATCATTTTTTATTTGCAGTCAATTATTAATATTCATTTCATTTTATATTTTCAGTCAATTAGTAATATTAGATTCATTTTCAGTCAATTATTTTTTTTTTATTTTCAGTCAATTAGAATATAGATGTAGTGATATTTTTACCTAATTTCCGTTACATTTTAATTTGATGATTTTTAATTTACATTTACTATTTTTTAAAATATGTCTTTACTACTGGATGATGTAAAATATTATTACTGAAATATTTCCTTTCCATTTTTAATTTTCCTTTACTTCTAAAAAATTAAAAAAAAAACTTTGGACTTATCACTACTTGCCCACAGTGATGGGCAAGCAATTATGTTTGTAAACATTTTCAAGAGCTCCTCTTTCCAAACAATTTCAATGT